CTGGCTGTTGAAATCCCCTGAGCTAACGGAAATGGCAAGCATGCTCTCCTTGAGCGTGCCTCCCTCCTCCCACACAGACCTCAGACCAGCCCCCCCACCTCTTTCTTTTTGTCCCCATACAACTTGGAGCGCATATAGATACCAATTCAGAAGCTTCTCTGATTGGCTGTTTCCTTGTGAAGATACTGAACGTCTCTTTGGGGAAAAAAGGAGAGGGCTTGCTAAGGCTGCAGTTCATAAGATCTGCAACCTTTGCAAGCTCTTTTAAAAGATACATTTCCAGTGAATACATTAATGAAAAAGAAAGTATTGATTGAGATTTACCTACTAAACAGTGAAGAAACCATTCATCACTCAGAAATGATAAGATTTGGGAACTTATAGAGAATATGTGTCTACCTAGATGAGATGGAGAAGAAGACAAGGTTTGGGGCTTTTCATGGATTGAATTACTCCTAGTAGAGTGATTTTATTGCTTCTGAATGCAGTATTCTGGGAAGAGATTGGTGAATCCGTTTCCTGTTCTACAATGGCAGTTTTGACAGACTCATATATAGATCCACACAGAAGTGCTATTTTGTTAGATCACTGGAGGATAATTGATTATCCTGCTTAGAGTTGTCATCCCAAATGAAACTGAGACCCATTCTTAATTGCCCAACTCTAGTGCCCTACCTCACTAATGCTTTTGTGTCAAAATGGAAGCAAATACTTTTTAGCAATGATCTAACGTCTATAAGAAATCAGTTCCATACATGTGGAGGCTGTTATAACAGCAAAATGTACATTTCAATCAGCGGCATACATACCACGGTCGCAGGGGTCGCAGCTGCGACCGGGCCCGGCACTCCAGGGGGCCCAGCCACCCTGCGGACCCCTGCGACCGGGTACCAGGCCTGCTGCCACATTTTGCGGCCCCGGCCCACGCGGCAAACCGCCAGGGTCACATATGGAGGGGTCCATCGGGTGGCCCATGCTGTCAGGGCCACCCGATGGATATGGATTGTGAGGGGGCCCGGTCTGTCTGGGCGCTTTAAGAGCACGACCGGGCCCCCTGTGATTACATCAGAGCTGGGAGGAAGTGATCCTCCCAGCTATCAGAGCCCGCACGGGAGGAAGGAGGAGGAGGAGGGAGTCAGAGTGGGAACTCTGACTCCCATCAGGCTGTGCCACCACTGGACCCCAGGGAAAGTAACAAGGTAGGAAACATTTTGTGTATGTGCGTGTGTGTTTCTCTGTATGTATGTGTGTGTCTGTGTCTCTGTATGTGTGTGTGTCTCTGTATGTATGTGTGTGTCTCTGTATGTATGTGTGTCTGTGTGTGTGTGTCTGTGTCTCTGTGTGTGTCTGTGCCTCTGTGTGTGTGTCTCTCTGTGTGTGTGTGTGTCTGTGTGTGTGTCTGTGTCTCTGGGACATCGGAGCTGGATTCAGGTAAGTGGCTGAAGGGGTTCTAACCCCTTCAGCCCTGCGGGAGGGGGGCCCAAGGGAGGGGGACACTCCAGGAAACTATAGGTTTGTTTTTCTGGCACTATAGGATCCGTTTAAGAGACAGGCGCTGTCATACTTTTGTGTATGTAAAGTAATTGCCCCTTCCCAGCCCTACATTTAGTTGCATAAAGACAACCAACTTTGTTAGTTACCAAACAGATATAAGCGAATGAGAAAATGCAGCATTAAAAAACACTGCAAATGCATAAAGCAGTTCATCTTGACTTTGAATATATAATATAAAAAAGCTTTGACCAGTCAATCAGTCAGTGAAGCAATACAAATAATTAATAAAGTTAATACAATATTGCTTTCTGGTGTTTTTGAAAAATAAAAACATAAAAAAAAACTCTAGATGCATGGTTAAGAAATAGTACAACAATGTGTATAAATTTATGATAGAAAAAATATATTTTTGTAATTATGTAGATTTTGGTAAATAAATATTTGACACTATATAATCTAAACAAATTAAAGAAATATATGCTTTAAAATAATTAATTGAGAATTTATTATACATATATTTACTAATAACCCTTTATTATTGACATTAGCGTCATATCCACAGTGCATAAGAGTAAAATACTATTAAAACTTTTTAATAACAAAATTCCAGAAAGTATTTTCATTTAAATTAACCAGAAAAGAGAATATAACATGCTGACTCTTATTTAATATGCTCATCTAAATATAAACACATATATTTTCTTGTTGATAGATTTATTACATATTTTTGCTATATAATATGTGATTTTGTTAAAGCCTATTCACAAAACCCCTGTATTTATACATTAGACGATATCAACAATACAACATAATGAGTTTAATGTCTTTTTTTTAACGTATTGTATCTTACTTTTTTACAGACTACCAAGGGAATTGATTGACATACAATAGTCATTGTAAATAAAAACAGATCTTTATGTTTAAAACTATGCAGGCATTGTATAAACTACTTTTATTTTTATTTTTAAAGTTTTAATACTGAAATAGAGACATTTAACCTTCTTTAATTTATAAGAATTCAGTTTAAACCACTTCTCTAACATGTTGTGCAGACTCACCAAACAAAAGTCATTGATTGGGAATCTATAAAAATGGTGTTCATGGTTAAAAAAAAATATATGACGCTCATTTGATATTGTCATGTTTCAACTTAAGTCTAACGTAAACAAGGAATTTTATTACGGCAAGAAAAATGTAGACAGTTTTTGTCTGCCAAACTCCTACATTTATGAAAATGTACTCATGGAAGGAAACTCTTCAAAATAATTTTTTTTAGTGATGTTTTAAATCTGTTTTACCACAATGTCTCAACATTTGTGTAAAAATAGTTGTGGTTTTCCAATGGATTTTACTACCTCTGGCAATCGACATCCTTTTTATATTACAAAGTGAAGTATAAGGAATATTCATTCAGAATGCATGCTACAACATAACTCATTGACGATAATTTTAATTTTACACGTTACAAAAATTAACAAATATGAAAACATATATATTACACTTTGATAACTCTGATATTATAATAATTATTCATTGATTCAGTTCAAAACTGAACACTGGAATTGACTAACATAATAGATTTTTATGGACCAATCCTAAAAATGCGCATGAATAAAATGTAAACAAAATTGCATCTTTCATATGAAATGCTTGAAAAGAGAAGAACAATAAATGACCTGATATAATATTAAACTATTGGAATAGATCCCTTGCATTCCAGTAATATAAGATCTTTGGACTACTACAATATTTTTCTTTAGACATCTTATCAAGGGAATATTTTAAATGATGAAAAATATTTCTCTGTTTAGGAACTTTCTTTAAATGTTTTGGCGGCATAAGTATAGAAAACAAATTTGGCTCTAGGCTATTTTAGATTTTCCAGTGCTTATGGTTTTATAAAATGTGTTGGAACAATAAACTGAAAAATCAACATTCTTTTATAGTAAATTCACCTTATATACTATAAGGCAGAGCTCTGAGTAGCTCTGCAAAGTGTGAGTGAGTCTTTTATAAGCTTTTATATACTCTTATTTCACTTGACATATTGCACTATTATTGTTCTGTACTTTTTTGTCTTGAAGGTTTTATACATTCCTAATTAGAGGACTCTCTGTATGTATATATTTTAATTATTATTTGCACTGTTTGGGCGCAGTTTACCACTTTTGTCTCTTCTACCTTATATACCTATTCCATTTTAGAAGTACAAGTCAATTAAAGATTAAAGTAGACTTGGCATATTTTCTGTATTCCATATTTTAATATTAGTTGTGGTTTCATCTAGTCACTGGCAAATATATGAGACACTGAATAAAAAAGCACACATATGTATATCAGTATATCTACATATTTACATTTGTGGTTTCTGGGCTCTTATGCTTTGGGTATATGGGCTCAGTTTGCAGAGTTATGGGAGTGATGGGAACCTCCACACCAGGAATGGTCACCAAACAATTAAATTAGTCTAAGCATCAAATCCAAGAGTCATGAAGCTAACAGAAACAGGACAAAGCTCAGTAACACCCAAGAAAAATTCAATAAGGTAGCACTTCATAAGAAATCTGAGCAAGAGTAAGAGGGATGAGGGAGTTTAAATAGGGCAGATGGGTGATGTGAGATATCCTTCATCCCATAGTTAGTGATCCCACCATACATAAAAGCACTGCCCTCTTGATGCCACTAATTAAACTTCACAACCAGACCAGACATCTCTCAGTGTCTCAGGGTCTAAGCCAAGTACCAGGGCAGCTAAAGATTTGTGCCCCTTAAAAGACAAAATGCATGATTGATGCATATATTTTTTTAATGTTAGAATACTATTTATAGTGTTTAGATTACAGGGTCCATCCATGCTATAATAAAAAAAATATATATATAAAACATTAATTTTACCATTATTATATTCTGATGACTTTTGTCTAATCCAACACTCCTCATAAAGAAGCATTGGGGACATAAGGTTTATGTATGGCAATTGCCATGCTCTGCCATTCCAGTGATTCTCATAACTAACCTTTGAATTCTCTGATTCTTTATGAGAAGCATTAGATGTTTTCAGAATCATCATGCAGGGTGTGATGCCACCAAATTTGTAGAATTTATTAGAGTGTCCTTTTTAAGTGTAGTATAGTGTAGGGGGTTACTGTTTAAGCAATAGGCTAATGTAGTGAAGTGCATTAGGACATTATAGGAATTGGAAGGAGCTTGAATAGTCAGTACTGTTTCTGGAATTAATGGGAGTTACTATCCCAGCAGAGACTATTTCAACTGCTAACACTAAAATGGCGGCAGGTGCTGTTTGGTAGTGAAACTCCCCATTTATCTAGGGCAGAGTGGGTTATGATATGATATATATTTATATATATATATGTGGAAGGCGTATGCCTGAATTTGTGGGAGGGGTTATTTTCCTATTTAAATCCCCAGTAACCCCAGCTTACCTATCGTCGCCGTCTGAAAGTTCTGGCCTGCTCGCCTCCCAACTTCCGGGTCCTCAACAGGCATCACACTTCCGGGTCCTCAACAGGCATCGCACTTCCGGTCCCGTCATACCTTGCGGCTTCCCACCAGTCCGTTCGCACAGACACGCACAAACTAACGAACACCAGGTAAGCGGCGAGAATAGCCGCGTTCGGGATATTCACGCCGTTCAACTTTTTCTTTCGTTTATATGCAATCTCACGTAGGAGACCGCAACCACAGGTGGGAGAGTCTAGGGGAAAGAGGAAGTTTATAGCTTGCTATCATGTAACAGGAGCAGTGCCATCAACCATAACTACCATTGTTACGGCGGTCATGAGACAGCAGTGTCCACAATTAGCTGCCATATTCACCGTGACACTTCACTTACTTCTGTGAAAGATTAAACATTGTTCATAATTAACTTCAATATTCTTGATGTCAAATCATTTACCATCATATGATAGAGGTAGCTGCAGCCCCCATCTCTGTCATATTTAAAGCTGCAGATCACTAATTATAATGTGACAAAGTCAGTGGAATTCACTATTGCAAGCCATATTTACAGCAGGGGTTCACAAACTCTCGGTTTACAAAGGCCACCTCATCTACAGGACTTTCAAATACCATGTTTATAGTAGCAGGTCCCTCACCACCATGTGACAGAGAGAGCAGCACACATCGATAAGTGCCATATTCACAAAAAAAAAAAAAACTTTTACACAGTAACATGCACGTGTCACAATCAGAACATATTGTTACAATAATCAACACAACGATGCTTAGATTCATTTTAACTGCTCAAACATCAACAAATAAATATATTTAATTTAAAATGCACAGTGTTTAAACCCAGCCGCTTTACAGACCGGTAATACGTCTTTAAACTCCTATTCATTATCCCCATCCTCTTAAGCTCCAGCTCTTCATTACTTTATGTCCCCCAGTTTTATTTAGTTTTATTCTTTAAAAAAAAAAAAAATCCCCGGGAAGCGACTAAACACTCACACAGCTTGTAAATTCCGACACCGTGTCCACGGTCCGCACCGCCGGAGCCATGATCTGTACTGGGGACTGGAGAAGGCTTGCGGGCTTAGCCCCGGTATCTGCCTCCCTGCTGCCCCCTACCAGCCGCACACCGGCAGAGACACCGAACCGGCATGGCAGGGGCTGGCAGTGATGTCACCGGGACACTAGAATTACAGCAGCTGAGCGGTAACGTTGCTCACCTTCCACACACTGCGCTGGGCACTGGTAGAAGTGGCAGCAGTTTAAACTGGCATATACTGCTCCTTTAAGACAAAGCAATGAATGCTGTTACAAGATGAAAAAAAAAAAAAAAAAAAGATTCTTTGAAGAAGATAAGTTACATTAGTCTAACCTGAGTGACTATGTTCACCCACTTTAACAATGCGGCAGTCTTTCTTGGTAGAAAAACTTAAACCCATGCTGATACCTTACAATCTGTATCATCCTATAATAACCCCTGTAATATCATGTCTGTTACTGTCACTCTTATGCTCTCACTACACGTAGCAGTCCCATGATAGGGATAATTGTACTGGTGGTTTCTCAACCTATTCTAAACTAGTTACGGTGTTATACTCAGTTTGATATTTCTCCATCCATTGTACAAACCCGCTGACGATCAGCATGCATTCACTCACACAAACCCTAAAACTACGGGACGGTCATTAGGGTTGATTCAGGCAGTGAGCCGCTACCGAGTACACCCCTCATAATGTCCAGGCAAATCAAATTACCCGCACAGTATCTACGATGAGTACCATTTTAAATTACAGTTGTAATCGTTGCAACTGTTACACTGCTTCTAAATTCCGCTAAATGGATTCCATTTCATGACTAAAATAGTATGGTAGAGGGGAAATAAATAAATAAAATAAAACACGAGCCACGAGGGCCATACATACATACATACGTGCAGTGTAGTTCATACGTATCGACCATCTTGTCCCGAAGTGCTCACAGCGCACTCCAGTTACGGTCAGCCTTACAATTCTACTTTATTATCACTCGTGTTTTCATCCAATGGTATGTCCTCTCTCTCACAACTAACCGTCCCTCTTAAGTAGCAATGGCTGGCTGTCAGGTTCCTAGGTGTCCACTAGTTATCATTCCCCCTGGCTTCTTCGCCTTAGGTTAAGTGGTCCCGCGAGGCCAACACCCATCCTCATACTCGGAGGTACTACGCCCCTCGGGCCAAATCATAGTCAGTCGCCTCGCATTGTGGCATAGAGAGGGCCTCACCTGTCACTCCCATTCTGTCTTATGTTTAATTGTTACCGAGAGGCCGACACCCCGCCACAACGTTCAGTGGCCACGCTATCCCCTCGCGCCAACGCATAGGTAGAGCCTCTCAAGCCACTTGGCAATTAGCAGGGCCTCACCTGTCACCAACCTAGAGTAATCGTTTCGCTGCATTGCGGCACTAGCTAGTCAGCCAGCACACACACACGTAGTACTTGGGGGACCGAACCTGCAAACCCCGTCATGCATAACCGTTACGTTTCATATCTGATAATCAGATCAGGTGTCCTAGCGGATTATTTCCTGCATCGTTATAACTTTAGTTTCGATGGTGAGTTTATATATCCTTACCGTAATACAAACCGTATGTCAGAACTATCAAACAAGGCAATCCAGGCTTTTAATACGTCAATCACTTACGGGCTAAGGGTCTCCTACATAATTAGATATAACAGTACAAGGATGATACCAAATATACATGTTCCCCAACTTGTCACTCACTTTGCGATCCTTTTATACCACATACACTAGGTGCCCATATCAAAGTAATTGAAACCAAGATCAGCGGTTTCCTCCTACAATTGTTTCAGGCATATTGTTCTTACATATATTTTCCGTTAAATACGTATATTGGCCACACGCTGTCTTTTACGTTTACACGTAGTACATATTCAGGCCTTGTTTCGGACCAAAGCCAGGTCCTCAATACGCTTGGGTATATATAGTGTCTGCTTCCAGATTTTATTCATTACAGATATACTGTTATTACTCTACAGCCCATTAGGGGCATTTCAGCACATTGAGTTCTAAATTACATACGTTGACGCATACTGTCACCTAATTATTTTGTCTACATCAATTATACAAGGCAATGCAGGTTAAAGCATTAGCAATCTAATAAAGACTGGGTAAACCAGAATTCCCACTTGTTTCATATCATAGAAACATAGAAACATAGAATGTGACGGCAGATAAGAACCATTCGGCCCATCTAGTCTGCCCAATTTTCTAAATACTTTCATCAGACATCGAAGCATCACTCGGCCTTCATTACGAACAAACGAATACAATTCAAATCCCTGACAGCTAACAGGGACCTGTCTCAGCACGCCTGACATTCACAAGGTTCTCCTTGCGCATTCAATCATATGTTACGCTATTTAATATTACATACATCTTACTATGTTATTTATGTTCAAAGTACATCAGGACTGACTTTCGGTCTTGCTATCTGTTTCTCTCTTAAAAGTTACACCTATAGGCATCTTATAATACGGTTAATTACAATCCCAAGCCTATCAAGTAAACGATTGTAGGGTAGTTATTATACGACATATATTTAAGCTTAAACCACAATCAAAGATCCTTTTCAGGTTCCTCTCTTAAGAGCACATTTTCCCTACTGTTAGTCACGGTATTTTCGTTTGCTCATCGGTTCGCATTGAGTCAGATTTGTCAGATACTTTTTTTTTTTCTCTCAGTTCTTTTTCGCCATGGTTCTACCAGTTTTTACACATATAAGGTATTAACGCTCATCCAGAAGAAACAAGCCTGCCAAGGGTCCCCCGCAGTATACCCCGCCCTGGCCACTCCTAAAGTCCTGAGGTCAGGCCTTGCTTAAATGTAACTGAGCTCGAAGAACATTCAGTTCAGGGATCCTCTGCAGTTCAATAAGGTCTTATCATGCCTTAAGTTAGAGGTTTTTTTTTTTTAAGCAGGTAGATTCGTCCACTAACACTAAGCAAACTTACTCTAAGCTACGATATGGGTAAGTATTGTGTATGATTCAAGATAATAAGTGCGTTCCAGTGATAAATGGCTGCTTGCACAATTTTTGCCACTTATCTTTGAAACCAGCCTATAATACTATTAAAACTTTACCTACAGGAATTTAACATTACGTATACACCATATACCCAACAGCTCCCATTTTCTTTTATTATTCAGTAAAGATGCCGACTAGTGCCCGAGATCAAAAACTCCACAAATCATTCAATTCACTCCCTATCAACAGTAAATCTTAGGGGGAGTTTTCGATTTAACCATAAGCCTCCCCGTAATAACGCTACTAATATGTGTCAGCAGCTCACTTGGCGTTCCACGATTTATTGAGGCCAAAGAAAGAATATTACTGTCGGAAACATTCGGCCTTCACCTATTCCTAAAGAATTCCGGAATCAACAATCGTTACATTATCTACTCCTCATATTAAAACATATGAGCTGGGTGTTTTAAATTGTGCCCGGTTCAAAGTTTGTACTCTTAATCAAAGGCCAGGTTAGCCAGATCTCTAACTAAACCTAACCATCTATAATAACTGCGATAATTGTTACTTTAATTACTCCACCCAGGCCTTAATCCTTCCTCCTACTCGGGCTTTTCATTCCATGTCAGTGCAACAGCACATAAGTAGAATATGGTAAGTTGTTTTACAGTGAGAACATTCCTAATCAAGGACAGAAATCAGACTCTCTTATCGATGTTGTGACTAAATAATTGCTAATCTGTGAATTAATCTTGTCTTCTATTTTTGCCCTCTTTTGCAGGCCTGACCTCTCGTCGGTTTCGGCACACCTCAACCGACTTTTGTCCTTATCGAACTACATACTTTTAATTGTACGTCCTCGAATTACCCCGTACACAAATGGAAGGCGTATGCCTGAATTTGTGGGAGGGGTTATTTTCCTATTTAAATCCCCAGTAACCCCAGCTTACCTATCGTCGCCGTCTGAAAGCCCACCTCACCCTTTGTTATTTTCAATTATATACCAGGTGGGCCCTCTTTTGCAGGCCTGACCTCTCGTCGGTTTCGGCACACCTCAACCGACTTTTGTCCTTATCGAACTACATACTTTTAATTGTACGTCCTCGAATTACCCCGTACACAAATATATATATATGTATCTATATCAACCACAACATTAAAACCACTGATCCTAGATGTAAGATAAGGCCAGGGACTAATTAAAAGTATTTTGAAATATTGGATAGACTAGATGGGCCGAATGGTTCTTATCTGCTGTCACAGTCTATGTTTCTATGTTTCTATGTTAGGCAGCAAGTGAACAGTCAGTTCTTGAATTTTATGTGTTGGAAGCAGGAAAAATGGGAAAGCGAAAAGATCTGAGTGACATTGACAAGGACCAAAAAGTGATGGTTGGATGATGGGGTCAAAGAATTGCCAAGTCTTGTGTAGTGTTTCAAGTGTGCAGTGGTTAATACCTACAGAAAGTAGTGCAAGGAAGGACAACCATTGAACCAGCATCAGGATCATGAGCGTCCAAGGCTCATTGATTTACATGAAGAGCGAATTGTAGAAAAACATATTGCTGGCTATGATAGAAAAGTGTCAGTGCATCAAAGTTTACTGTGTATGGGGCAATGTAGCTGCGGACTGGTCAGAGTGCCCATGATGATCACTGTTCACCACCAAAAGTGCCTTAAATGGGGACATGAGCCTAAGAACTGGACCATGGAGAAATGGGATTATGTTGTCTGCTCTGATGAATCATGTTTTCTTTTAAATCACGTGGCTGGCAGGGTGCATCGCTTAAATGAGGAAGAGATGGCAGCAGGATGCACTATAAGAAGAACATAGGCTGGTGGATGCAGTGTTATGACCTGGGCAATGTTCTGCTGTGAAATCTTGGCTCCTGGGATTCATGTCAATGTCACCACCTACCTAGAGATTGTAGCAGACCATGTACATGGCAATGGTGTTCCTTAAAGGCAGAGGCCTATCAGCAGGATGATGCACTATGACTAGTGATGTCCCGAACAGTTCGCCGAACGGTTCGCCACGGACGGCGAACATAAACATAAACTTTGACCCTGTACCTCACAGTCAGCAGACACATTCCAGCCAATCAGCAGCAGACCCTCCCTCCCAGACCCTTCCACCTCCTGGACAGCATCCATTTTACATTCAATGTGAAGCTGCATTCTTAGTGAGCTGTCCAGGATGTGGGAGGGTCTGGGAGGGATGGTCTGCTGCTGATTGGCTGGAATGTGTCTGCTGACTGTGAGGTACAGGGTCAAAGTTTATGTTTATGTTCGCCATCCGTGGCGAACCGTTCGGCGAACCGTTCGGGACATCACTAACTATGACACATTGTAATAATTTTTATGGGATGGTTTGAGGAATATGACAAAGAGTACACAGAGCATCAGAGCTGCGTTGGCAGCACGTCGGGGATCTTCAGTGAGGGAAAAAAGTATTTGACCCCCTATCAGTCAGCAAGATTTCTGGCTCCAGGGTTTCTTTTTTTGGTTTTTTAATTCTTTATTTTTGATGTGCATAATATAGTCAAAATATCATCTTGTACATTGCAAATTCAATAGTAAGAGGTAATAGCTAGTAAACAATGTACATATAGATATACTGCATATTTTTTTTTTCAAGATAAACAAATTAACACAGTGCTAGGCTTGACAACAGAATACTAGTAGCAGGTATAGGCATATACACTGAGAGGGAGTCTTAAAGATTGTACTCTTGTTTAGTGATGCCAGGGCTGGCTCACAGCATCACAGCAGGGTGCACAAAGGAGCAGTGCCTCCATTCTAACCCAAACGGTCGCTTTCTGTGGGGTGCTACGATGGCCAGATGTCCACCTCTTGGTGTTCCCCCTGCCTTTGGTAAGAAGCTAGGGTACATGGTACCAGAAAGATTGCATAAAATCAATGAGAACATTTTGTCGATATGGTCTTGATTTGAAAAACATATAGGCTCAATGAAACATATGCAAACAAAACAAACAAGAATATAATCAGTGACAAAATGTGTGCTTCCTGTGAGGAGTGTCAAAGAGCTGTTGTATAGCAGCCAGGCTTATGAGCAGGGCAGCTGCTGTCTGCCCCGCTCCTCTCCTGAGTAGGCCGCAGGCTGCAAAGTTTCAGAACACCCATATGGGTCTCATGTTCTCAGAGTGCACAATAGCACCAACAACTACTCTCACACTTAGTGATGTGTGTATGGATGTGAGGGACAAGATTGTAGACCTACACAAGGCTGGAATTTGCTACAAGACCATCGCCAAGCAGCTTGGTGAGAAGGTGACAACAGTTGGTGTTATTATTCGCAAATGGAAGAAACACAAAATAACTGTCAGTCTCCCTCGGTCTGGTACTCCATGCAAGATCTCACCTTGTGGAGTTTCAATGAGCATGAGAACGGTAAGGAATCAGCCCAGAACTACACAGGAGTTAATGATCTCAAGGCAGCTGGGACCATAATTGTTAATGATCTCAAGGCAGCTGGGACCATAATCACTAAGAAAACAATTGGTAATACACTACGCCGTGAAAGACTGAAATTCTGTAGCACCTGCAAGGTCCCCCTGCTCAAGAAAGCACATGTACAGGCCTGTCTGAAGTTTGCCAATGAACATCTGAATGATTCAGAGGAGAACTGTGTGAAAGTGTTGTGATCAGATGAGACCAAAATCAAGCTCTTTGGCATCAACTCACTTCGCCATGTTTGGAGGAGGAGGAATGCTGCCTATAACTCCAAGAACACCATCCCCACAAACATAGAGTTGGAAACATTACGCTTTGGAGGTGTTTTTCTGCTAAGGGGACAGGACAACT